TTATAATTAAGTTTTAAACTTTTATAGCAATTACAACTAAGTAAAATTTTTTATTGTAATTACAATTATACTCAAAACAATTATAATTACCGTATTTAAGTCTCTATACTTTATAAAGCTACAATAGAGTCCTTAGGACATATATCATCCAAGCTCTAACAACCCTAGACCTCCAAATCCAATTATTAGTCTTTGTTTTTCAACTAAATGTAAAAAACTGAATTCTTGGAATGTATAAGATTGTAGAAGCTAATAGATCTATAATACTTTCCTCTGACTCACTGTATATTTATTTTATCCTCGTTCAAGATTCGATAATTAGGTACGTGCATAAATGAGTGTTTTGCCCCTCTAATTATGCTCATTAACTTAAGTACCATTTTCTTCAACAATTCTGTGACAAGTCATAGATGTCGAAGTTTAGCAATCACTAAACATTAATAACAGATTTTAACCGTTCAATAGAAAATATTTAAATAGTCACTCTACCCATTTTTCAGGATGACAGTGCTCAACACGAATTCATGTTCTCGACTTCACTCATTCTCAAACTGTCAACTCACCTAGATATTTGATCAATTAAATTAATCTCACCCATTAATTAATCAAAAAACCATTTAAATATGAAAAGATATACATAACCCTCTCAACGGGGTTAGATGAAATATGCAACCAATCAAGTGGACTTTGATTCTCTGTACGATTATGCTATAGAAGTAAACTCAACATGTGGTCTCTTCAATAGACTTTAAGTGTACTGATGTCATCTTTAATTATTTTTGTGATAAGGAAAAATCACAAACCACAATAATGAATATCTCAACATTACAACCTTCCAGTACAAAGTTTTATCCCCTAAAAAAATTATTTATAATTAAAATACAAATTGTGTCATACTGATTATAAAAATATTGCATCAGTAAAACTATATTATATGGACATACAACCAAACAGTATTCCAAAAGAATAAGATAATTTTCCTTGATTATTGATGCTATCAAAAATAATTTTTGAGAGGGTCGATCTCGAATTGGGAAAACACGAGGTATGAAAATGGAGAGGATTTTCGAACAACCTGCTAAAAGGCTAAGGGGAGTTGTTTGCATAACCTTTTTGATACTTGTGTCAAACCGTAGGAGAAAAAATCTGCAAAAACTTGTGTGAGAGAGAATGATATAGAATGAAATCCAATTAAGCTCACATTCTATTCTCCAACATGGAGGAAAAATAGTATTAATTCCTGATATATTCCTTCAAGTGGAGAACATGAATATGAGTCGGCGTATTAGAGTTTAGGATGCAACTACGATTTTTTTCTTTTTTTGTAAGGTTTTTTACTCCACCTAATTGAATGAATCTATTCAAATAAAATTAATAATTGGACCATCCAATTCGAATAAAATCCCTAATTTCTGGATTAGTTGTTAATAAAATTAAACTAAGGCCATGTTTGATATGGCAACTTTTCCATGGAAAATGGAAAAGATTTTCCCTTTTCCAAGTTTTTACATATTTGATGACATCAATTTTCTAGGTAATTGAAATTCCATCTTTCAACCACACATGCACCTTTTCCACGAAATGGAGGAATTCATTTTCTCATGTATTAGGTGGTTTTTCATTTTTCAGGTTGACTTTTTTTTAAAAAAAAAAAATTTTTAATTTTTTTAATTTTTTTTTTTTTTTTTGGCAATGGAAACAAATTTTATTAACAATTGTAACAAAT